GGCTTGAACTCAGGCCCTTGCGCTTGCCAGGGAAGCACTTATTCTACTGAGCCATCTCCCTGGCCCCTCCTTGTTATTTTTAAGAGATCTTTCCTTTTGTAGTCACTAACTGAAATGCTGTCTTCAAAATCTAAAAGTCTTGTCTTCAGTTTCATTCAAGCAGTTTTGCAGCTTTGAGTGGAATTCCTAACTTCCTGGATATCTGTTTGAATGTTTCATGCATTCTAATTCTTTCCTGTATTGTCCATTCAGTATTGCCATTATTTTTCTATTCTCTATTTTTTCATTTATGTCTTCTTTGGATGTGCTGATCAATTATTTCATGATCATTGTCATTTCTTTTTTACTTTTTATTTTACTTTTTTGATTTATCATATTTATTAAGATAATTATAGTTTATAAAAATATTATATTGATATACACAAAAATCTCCTGATAATGATAATTAAAACAACTAATCCTAACCCTCCCATGTCTGTGTCAATAATCAATCTAAATTGGTTTGATCTTAAAGTGCTTGAAGGACCAAGCACTTCAGGTCCTGGACAAGATAATAATAAAATACTCTTAAGCCTTCTGGGTCCTTGGATTGATTGACATCAATAAGAGAACCAAGTTTAGATGTTATGAAAGAAATGTGTTCATCTCCAATGACAATTTCAAGCTCTTGCCGGCCTACTCTGTCAAGAGGAGGCCACAAGGCTTCATCCTCTTTGGTAATTTCATTGTCATCAATTATTCTTTTCAGTTCCTGCATCACACTTTTATGCACATAGGCCTCTTTTCTGATCATAACATCATTTTTGTAATTGCTGTTATTGGTGTATCTCCATTTCCCATCAGGTCGGAACTCGACGTACAGGAACTCGTAACTGAACTTGCCTTTGTGACCCACGTAGTAATGCAGATAAAAGTCACTCTCCACAGCTTGCATAGCACATCCAAGACAACTTTAGGACTGAAAAGCTCTCTCTCTCTCTCTCTCTCTCTCTCTCTCTCTCTCTCTCTCTCTCTCTCAATTCTGAGGTGTGTAACTTCCAAGTTTTTCTATGAACTTGTCTCCTAGACTTGTTCTGAATGGGCTGGAGGTCTGAGGTTGGTTTTTGCTCCTTTATTTTGACATTTTTGAACTTCTAATGTTCACCCAGGTTCAGAAGAGATGGTAAGAGGGTGGGGCATGGGTCAGCAAGGCTTATACAACAATAGTGGGGGACAAGCTTGCCAAAGCTCCTGCTGTCTGGGATTCAGCGAATCTCCTGTAATAGTCCCATCCCCCAATCTTTAAGAGGAGTTTTTGCTAAGTTACTGAGGCTGGCCTCAAACTTGTGATTCTCCTGCCTCAGCCTCCCAAATGTTGGGGTTACAGGTGTGTGCCACAGAAGCCAGATCATTTAGGACTTACAGTTCATGATCTTATTCCTTATGGGCATTTTTGAATGGAACATTGGCAGGATCTGGTTGGTGTCTTAAAAGGCCCACTCTGGCTATCATGTGGAGGCAGTACTGAACCAGAGAGAACTACTGGAAGTCATTACTGTAGTTAAGGTGGCATGGGTCAGGCAGGGGTGGTGTTACTGGAAGTTGTGAGAGGTGGTAGAAAAAAGGGGATGTTTTGAATATAGAGCCAACATTGCCTAGTGTATTATATGGGAAATGTGGGTGCTGGTTGAACTGGGGGTCTACCACCCATTCAGGGCTGTAGCAAGGCCAGCCCTGAGAACATGGAGCTCTAGAGGTGAGCTATGTAGAGAAGTTGTTGGGACTAGAGCATGGCTAGTCCAGCAGGTGTCTGGCCTTTGTGGTCCTCCCTGTTAACGACAGCACAGAGAGCTCTGAGAATGTTTCACTTTCATTGTTCTCAGCAAAACACTGTGACCTTGTGCTTTTGACTCTTTAATGCATGTCTCAGTTTTGTACCATGTACAAATAAAGAGGCAGACCACGCGGGGTTGTCGCTGCTTCTCCATCAGAGAGGTCAGGTCCCAACTTTCCTTTTAGTATGCTTCTAGCTTTTTCTTAACCTCCTATCACCACTTGTCAGGACCCCACTGGCTTCACAGGTCATGGCTGGGAGAAGTGAAGGAAAAAGAGGAATTGGGCTCTGGAGATAGCTGTGCATTCTAAGCTCCTGCCTGACAAGCACAAGGACCCAGGTTTGATACCCGGTGCTGCATGCCATGGAACCCCAGGCAAATCATGCAGGCCACCAAAACGGGGTGTAGTGGCACATACCTGTGATTCCAGCACTGGGGAGGCTGAGACAAGAGGATCACTACTAGTCTGAGCTGTGTAGTGAGACCCTGTACCAAATAAATAAATAAATAAATAAATAAATAAATAAATAAATAAATGATTTTTCTTTAAAAAGAGGAATCAAGATTATTTCTGAATTGCAAAAATTTTCTCTGTTTCCCCTGTATTACCATGTCTTTCTCCTTATTCTTTCATTTAGTTGTGGGTACTACAGTCAGACAGAAAGGTGAGGACACTTTGTACTCTCACTTGCAGTATGAGCAGCAGTGGGTTGCTGCAGTGTGACATATCTCTCTGTTCTGATTTGAATGTGTCCCCCAGAAGTTGATGAGTTGGGCTCTTAGTCCTCAAATTCATGCTGATGGTATTCAGAGTGGGACTTTGGGAAAGAACACCAGTACGATGAGTGCATGAAGGTGAGGCTCCTCGAAGGGATTAGAGGCTTTCTGAGAAGAGAGACCTAAGTTCACAGACCCCTTGCTTTTCTCACACTACACTCTCTCCTGGGTTATGATACAGTAAGAGGCCTTACCAGATGTCATCCTTCTCAGTCTCCAGAACTGTGAGCTGGATAGGATTTTGTTATTAAAAATTACCCTCTATGTAGTGTTCTGTGATAGCGACAGAAAATGGGCTCTCTGAAGTTCAGTGGCTTACAACATTTACACTTGCTCAAGGGCGTGGTTGTGGGCAGCTGTGCCGACCAGAGTCAGCAGTCACTTGATCACTGGCTTACTGCTGATTGTTCTAGGACAGCTTCACTTACAGATGTCAGGTCAGCTGGCTCTTGGCTGGGGGACCCGGCAACTGAGCCATTGTCACCAGCTGTCCAGGAAGCTGTTCTCGTGTTGTTCTTAAGGTGGCTGGGCAGGTACTGAGACAAGGAAGTGAAGCTCTTTGAGACCTGGGCTCAGGACTGTTTCCCTTCACTTGGCCACACCTGGCAGAGCACATCCCAAAGCCAGCCTTAAGTTTTCTGCTTTGACTCATGTGTTGTATAGAGGTGTGGGGTTTGATGTTCATATACTTGGAGATTTTTCAGTTATCACTTTGTCACTGTTTTCTAGTTAGATTCCACTGTGGTCTGAAGGCATTTGTATTTTTGTTTGTTTATTTTGTTTATTGAGGGTCTCACTATGTAGCCAGGGCTGGCCTTAGACTCACAGTGATCTTGCTGCCTCAGCCTTCTGAGTGCTGACTTTAGGGGTGTGTGCCACCACGCCTGGTTATCAGAGACCAGGCTATGCTGCCTGTCCCATCCCAGGTTCAGCCCACTCCTCTGAGCTTTCCCCGCCCAAGTGCCAGGTGCAGGGACCTCAGCTACTATTTTGTTCCCCTGACATGAGGGTAAATGAAGATGAAACAACACCACACAGTTAGTTTAGGATCTGGACAGCCAGGGAGTGCTTGTCTCTAAGGCAGAGGAGCTCCATATCTCTGACTGGTCTTTCTTTTATTCACTCAGACATGCATATAAGCAGTCAAAGTAATTCAAGAGTAATCTACTTCATATTAGCTATTAGTACATGCTCAGGTAAACAACTTAATCTCGGGTGGACATGCAACATTCTGTCATCCCTGAACGATGCCTCTCTCCTTTTGCTCACAGGGAGGCCAGTTAGATCTCAGTCCTCCTTTCTGGTCTCCCACACCTGGTGATACCTGGTCTAATGCTTACATTCGTTGAGGTGAATTTTATGGATGAGCATGTATGTCTTGGGGTGTGTATATGCCTGTTAATTGGGCACTTACCTAGGAATTTCAGAGTGACAAAGTATGTGTAAGTTCAGCTCTGATAGATATCAGCAGGCAGCTTTCCAAAATAGCTGTGGTGGTTAGGATAGATATATAGTTGCATTCTCTTAATGAATAGAATGATTTGTTCTAATGGTGTTTGTAAATAAGATCTCAAGTCCGCATCTTGTACAGCAATTAACCACAAGAAGAATATATGCAGTATGTTATTTCTTGAAACTGTACTTCCGATTTGATTTGAAACTGTCTCATTGCTATCTGTTTATCAATAAAATTTTGAAAAAAATATTAAAAAAATAATAAAAATAAAAATTAAAAAAAAAGCTGTCGTAATTATGCCCCCACCAGTAGTGCCCTAGAGTTCCTTTTTCCATAGCTTTGCTTTTGCTTGGTGTTGTTGGTTTTGAAATTGGTAGCCATTTCAGTGTATGTGCATTAGTATATTCTGTTCCTTTGCATTTCTCTGATGGCTGAAATAGTTAAGCAATTTTTCATGTACTTATTGTTATTTGGATTCTTTCTTTGAGAAGTGTTATATTTATTGGATTGCTTGTTTTTCTTATTGTATTGTAGAAATTGCTGGTATTTGAGATATGTATGAAATATCAAGAAATATATATATATATATATATATTCACAGTACTTGAGATATAGTACTGGGAATTGAACCCAATGCTTTTGCACTAAGTTACATTTCCAATCCTTTTTAAGTTTTTTGAGACAAGGTCTCACTAAGTCACTAAGGCAGAGGAGCTCCATAACTGATTAAAGGTTCCCAGCCTCGGCTCACTTGCTCATGAAAGGCTCAAAATTTTCCCAGTTAACTCTGTGCTTCAGTCCTAGCAGAGCTGAGAAGCTGGCTGCTGTGATTTAAGAAGATGGGCCCTGAGCCAGGGGTGGTACTTCATGCGAGCAATCCCAGTATTCAGAGAGGCCGAGGCAGGAGAATCTAAAGACAGGATTTAAAAGCCTGGAGGATTTAAAGCTAACAGGTCAGTCTGTTAGCCAGACCCCCGTCTCCAAAAAAAAAAAAAAAAAAGGCCTCAGAAGCCTTTTTCTTCGAAGGACTTTCCGGAAGAACTTTCCATGAACTTTTCAGAACTGTGTCTGCAGGCAAGGCTTCCCGGGACTCACCGGTGACGGGAACCGAGATTCCCGGAGACCCGGGTCCCCTACGATTTTAAGCAGGGCACCGGTGAAAACCTGGATCCAGGATTTTGCAGCCTGACCGGGCCTTCCGTTCCGCAGCGCGCTTTCCCGGTCTTGCCCCGAGCCTGGGCGCACCCGAGGCGAAGCCGCCGGCTGCAGTGTGCGGCGCGGCGAGCCGGGAGTCCGGGTCTTAGGTCCTGGGATGGCCGGCGGGGCCGAATCTGCACCACGGACCCGAGCGACACTTTTCTGCCGCCCGCGGCCGGGACGCGCCTGCTGCCTCCGCGACCGGGACCCTGCGTGTGCCAGAAGGAAGTGAGTGTTGAGTGGTGCGCAGAGAGGAACGCACGGAACCCCGGGCCAGCCGTCGCTCGGAGCCGCGGGTTCAGGGTGTGGCTGCGGGGCGGGGCAGGTGGGGGCTGCCGGGGGAGCGGCGCGGCCGGGATTCGGGGTTCGCCCTCCCGCTGCGCCGCCGCCGGCCGCTCTCGCCTCTCTTCCCGGCCTTGCGCTCCGGCCGGAGCCCGCCCTCCTTCGGTGCCTGGAGTCGCTTCCGCCCGCTTGGGTCTTCCCCGAAGGAGGACAACTTATTGCTGGAATTGCATGCTGAACCAGTAAAGTGACGAATTCCCACTTGTGCGGAACAGCGTGTGTTTAGCAGACGTGGCGCCTTGGAAGACCCCAGCAGCAGGTGCTGGTTACCACGGGCAAGCCCTAATTTAGGTGTTTTTCTATCCAGTTAGCGACCACAGACTAGGACTCGTTCGTGTAAGATAGAGAGCATTGCTGTGATGTTTAAGACATTTTCTTGGGATCTTTTTAATGATTCTTTAATATCTAGTAAACGCCTGTTTTTCTCAACATTGCAACCAACAGTTTCCTCCTACTTATTGCCTATCGACCCTGACTCAGTTGCCTAGAACAGTTTGTCCTGTGACTTGGGTTGCTAATTTAATTGTGGAAGCTGTGCACCTGTGGTTGAATAGTGTTTACTTTGTCTTAAGGACCATAAAGCATCCTTTCTTAACCTTAAATGAGGACCCCTCTCCCCTTCCCAAAAACTCAGGACCAATCTTGGCCTTTCTAGTGGTGTCCCAACAAGGCAGGGCTTTGATTCTCTCTGGTCCACCAAGATCGCAAGTGGAGGCCTTTCAGGCGAGGCCAGGCTATTTGGGTTGAGTAAGTAGTCAGGATAATTGCACACTGAAGTTTCCAAGCCAGCATGTAAACCAGACTCGGAACTTTCTTCTTCTGCCTCTAAACCAGAGGGTGGCGTCAGGTGATCAAGTCCCTTACACTTTTGAGATTGCTGCACCAACTTCACTTGCTGGCTTCCTGCTAGATGGCAGTGTGTAACGGGGAATTAAACATGACCTCCACTGTTCTTGCCTTATTGCCAATCATGTTTTATTTTTCAGTGCGAAAGAAAACAGTTTCAAACTTTATGTTATAAACACTTTTGAAATATTCAAATTAGAGGAGAGGCGGAGAGATAGCTCCTGGCAAGCCTGCCTGGCAAGTGCAAGGACCAGGGTTTTATGCCCAGTACCACATGTTGTGCCGGCCCCACAGGGAGCCGGCCACCAAAACCCAGCGTGGTGGCACACACCTGTCATCCCAGCGCTGGGGAGGCTGAAACAGGAGGATCACTGGAGTCCAAGCTAAGTAGTGAAACACTGTACCAAGCATATAAAATTAAAAAAAAAAAAAAAGGGGGGAGGCAATGGGGAGATGGCTCAGTAGAATAAGTGCTTGCCTGGCACACGAAAGGGCCTGAGTTCAATCCCTGGTTTAAAAAAAAAAAAAAAAAAGTTAGGAAAAAAGTTTGAACAGTGATATCGTTTATGTAAATATTGCTCAGTCCACAGACAATTCCAAGCTATTCTTAATTTTAAAAATAATATTTAGTGTGTAGAGAGTTACTTTCAGCAAGAAATGCACTATCTTACTCTATTATCAACATTCACTAATAAGTATTTATTACAGTGATCCTGAATAAGTGTTTTTGGAAATTAGAAAAGAAAATTAAGTTTGTTTATACGTTTTTTAGATTTTCTTACTGGAGAATAAAATTTCAGATTTCAAAAGGCAGTGTGAATTACCAAAAGCAAAATGGGCTGGACTTGCTGCTGAGCAGTGGAGCACTGCCTAGCATTCCTGAGATCCTGGTTTTGATCCCTAGCACCTCCTCCCACCCCACATGCAAAATAATTCTAAACTTGTATTCTAATACATTTTATTTCCACAAGTCTTTGTTTGTATTAGCTTTTTGCATCAACTTTTCTGTCATCAGGACAAAATTGTTGATACCCAAACTTAAAGGTTTAACTTGACCCATGGTTTAGAGGTCACAGTGGGTTTTTCCTAAAGCAGAAATACATGGCCGAAAGGGTATGTTGGAGCAAAGGTGAGCCCCAGTGAGAGACAGGCCTTCCAAAAGCACATGCTGGTGACCACCTGCTGACCTGCTCCTAACAGCACACCCCCGCTGTGAGCATCCGGGGATTAGTCCACCAATAGATATAGTGCTCCATGGTCCAGTCACTTATCTTATTCTAGTAAGGTTGCTAATTAAGATCAAATTATTGCGATTGTTGTGTCTTTACTAGGTTAATCTTCTGTGAAGAGCTTTGTGCTCCTGGACACAATTCATTGGCTTAAAGAGCTCACTTTAGGGAAGAAATCTTAGAACATCACGTGTGCAGTGTTAACTATATTGCATGTTGTTTAACCAGTTTCTCATTCATGATTATTTATTTATTTATTTTTTTCAGTTTTACAGGAAATTCTTTTTTTTTCTTTCTTTTTTTTGCTTTTATTTTTATTTTTATTTTGTTTATTTTTTTCAAAGTTTTATTGATAAACAGATAGCAATGAGACAGTTTCAAATCAAATCGAAAGTACAGTTTCAACAAATAATACACTGCATA